TTAGTGTTATATACAGAAAGCTTGACTTTGCATGTTATTACACATTTTCCCTTTATGAATGAGAATCATGTTGGATTAAATAAGTTCTACGTTCTGTTGTTCTGCACTTAAATAGTGTGGGTCGTCATCGAGCGAACCGAAGATCATTCTATCAGTTACTTGCAAATAAGAATAGTCGTTCACAACCTAGATGGAAATGAACACCCCATCCGAACGGTTGTAGTGTCAACTGTATAGTTTGTCTTGACTGATTAGTTGCACTAGTACATTTATGTATTGAATAAGATCCCAGAGAGGAGAAGTTCATTTTATACTGATCGTCGTAAATGAACTAGGCCTCGGCTAATTACTGCGTTCTCTTAACCCATAAGATATTAAACAGGCATATATATGTAGTATATATTACTTTGATTCACTTGGGTGAGGTTCAATTCGCAGGATCAATATTCCTACTGTTTTAGGTAATATTACTTTATATATATGTTCTGTTAGGATATTTACGGTCACCATGTGCATTAGTATGATGATGTCTCCGGAGTGAGTTCATGAAGGATGGTTATGCTAAACCCTGCAGGTGGATTAAATTTCGACATAATAAGAATGCGATGAACGAGCGCTAGCTTCGGTGAAATAATAATAAATTAATTAATTCTTGATTGTCAGTAATCGAATTAATTAAGGGACATTATATCTTAAACGTGGGGAGGTAAATCGAGTAATTATAATTGGAGTCTCAAGTGTAATTTGGACTAGGAAAAGGGAGTTCAATAATATAATGTTGGTGGCCCATTAATATTATTTAATTAATTAGAGGAGTGGTTTGACCCACAGTTAGTCTAATTAATTAAAGAGTCCAATTCCAAATCTCTTAAGGGTCTCTACTGTAGCTCTATATATACATCATTAAGCTCATGAGAAGAGAACCAATCTGTTAAAACGGGGGAAAAGAAAGACAAAACAATAACGAAAAACACAATAAAAATGGGACAAACAACCCCCCCACACTCAAACCTTTGTTCGTCCCGAACAAAAATAAAAGAAAACATGACAAGAGCATGGATACAGTTTCATACAAGAAGAGCCTCAAAATGCCCAACTCAATCGAGTCGAATTCCAACGACCATACGACCATATGTCTCAAATATCAACTTGGCTGTGAAATGACAAACTCACAAACATATGAATATCATTATATGCCTCACTCATTTTCTTACATGAATATTGATAGGTTCGCTCAGATTGGTCGATATTCAAGTTTCAACATATGCTTGTCAATCGTCTAAATTACTCGGAAACAATCAAAACTCAAGACTCGCGAATCAAGAGGACTTCACGGGTTGTAATGTGGGTTTTAGGTAAAGGTACAGAAATATATGGACAAAAAGCTCAAATAAACAATCAAGGTTCTCGAGTAATAGTATACTCGAATATCCGCTACTCATCCGAAATCAACAAAATAGCACACCTACATTTTACCAACAACTCCACAACAACACCTAAATGCTCAAATCAAGTTGTACTTCATAACTTGACCCCTTTTTTCATTCATTTTTTTTGTATAAACCTTATTGAATATTTTATAATCCATTCGGCTTTTTTTTTTTTATTGAATATCAATGAAAGTATTACAAATATTAATAAAATAATAGGTCAAGCGATAGAAATCCAACTTCAATTCACCTCATTCACCAATGATTCCATTTTCACCATTCATCACAAAATCAGTCAACAAAATACATTATATTATGGATGACAAGAAACGGTTCAAGGCGCAAACGGGTTACTAGGAAAAATAACGTTAAGAACCAAAGAACAAGGCAAAAATGAACTAGCAAACGAAACGCCTCAATCATTTTCGCAATTCCAAACTCTAGTTGATTTCTTTCAAACAGACTCAAGGCAAGTTCTAATCATTCAAGAATATGACCAATATCTCACAAGAAAGAAGAGTAAGGATCAAAACGTCACAAGCAAATAAATGTCACTCAAAGTAATCAAACAAATATCGAGGCAATGACCAACACAAACATCATCACAACTTCCCAATTTCATCAAACATTCGTCAACAAATCCTATAATTCACCAATCCACATGCTCAATGACACAAAAACCTAACACTAGACCGGTCCACCACATAAGCATGCAAAATCCGAATAAACTCCCCCACACTTAAAATGAGGCAATGTCCTCATTGCTTCAATACAAAACAGGAAGTCAAATAACAGGACCTAACAATTCATATAACGAACCAATACTAGCAGCTAGCATAAGACACAAAACTCAAAAGAAAAGACAGTGAAAGGAAACAACTCAAAAAGATAAAAGTAGAGGGTGTGCAAACCGAAGATGCCTCGAGGAGAATAAGCATCCACGTGTAAGCCGCTCGCCTATGCTCAGCCCAGAACCTCGGTATTCCTCATTCAACGCAATCCTCCTACTCGAGCTTGCTAACTCGTACCTACCAAGAAAAACACAGAACTCCAAAACTTCATTATTCAAAGATAAAACTAAAAAGCATAAAGAAGAATATCTAGGAAAGCAATAAATCACTTGGGTTGCCTCACAAGAAGCGCTTGTTTAACGTCATTATCTTGACGAAACCTGTGGAGGACTCAGCCAGGATCCAGAAAGAAATGACGATCGTGCCACGCCTTCGTATTTTTCAGAAGTGGTAGCATGGGAAGTTTGGCAAGAAGGCTGGCACGGTGGATCCGGGTGACTATGTTCTTGGTGAAGCGGGTTCGGGCACGAGCAATCCCCAATTCTAGGGGTAGAGTTTTTCCCACCCGAGCTCTGTCGTCAACCTCCAGAACTATAAATACATCTGTGGAGCAAGTCGAAATAAATCCTACCCACTTCGTGACACAGTGCAACGGCATAGAAGACTGATGCTCCGACTCGAAGGTGGAGGAAGGCACTTAAGAATCAAGCCTATTGATCTTCTCCTCTGAGATATCATCAACATCTCGCTGGAGCTCATCATCTTCTTCTTCGGCTTCACACATTTGCTTAGGGATGTGAATGGGTCGGGCCGGGTGCGGGTTTTGGCACACCCGTACCCGACCCGCCGGCTAAAAAATGCACCCATACCCGGCCCGCTACCCGATTAACCACCACGGGTTCGGGTTGGGTTTTACCCGTCGGGTAATTGGGTACCCGCCGGGTAAATGGGTACCCAAATTGTTGCAGTCAATTGGGTTTGATCGGGTTATTTTTACCCACTTACCCGTCACCCGAGTACCCTAAACCCAACCCGACCCGACCCTGTGCCTAAAAAAAAAAAGCACATGCATTCAAATTGCCAGTTCGCCACCATACCATCACAAATAGCAATATGATTCCATAACCATACATAATAATGAATTCTCATTACATTCCCACAAATAGCAAGATGATTCCATAACCATACATAATAATGAATTCTCATTACATTCCCAAGTGAATTCAAATATAAAAAGAAAAACTACTGCTTAAGGCTTCCACCTCAAAATAAGCTACATGAATGTGCCAACAAATTCCTGCAAAAAGAAGCCAGAAAAATTTGTAAATAATGCCTAAATAAAAATACACTCGAATATTTGAGAAACAATTTAATTTGTTTACCTCTTGCTCTTATTTCCTCTATCAAAATAAACTACATTGACGTGCCAACAAATTCCTGCNAAAAAAAAAAAAAAAAAAAGTATACAACTTGTAAACAATGCGTAAATAAAAATATATTCAAAAAATTGAGCAAAATCTAATTTGTTTACCTCTTGCTCCTCGTCCTCATCACAAGTGAAAGCAGTGGCACCATTAGACACTCTAGGTGGAGGAAGATGTGGAGGCTCCATCTGAAAAACAATTATTAAAAAAATAAAAAATAAAGTTAGCTTATTATGAAATATAAAATTACTCAATTCATAAATATCAAATAAAATATAAATCAAACCATCCATTGTGTCCCACAACCAATCTTGGGAACACATCAATGCCTCTAGAGTGTCTGGGATGAGCCTGCTCCTATGCTTGCTCACAATTCTACCACTCGTGCTAAACGCAGCCTCTGAAGCAACCGTGGAAACAGGAATGGCAAAAATATCTCTAGCAATCAAATGTAATGTGTTATATCTTATGCCCTCTGTCTTCCACCAAGTCAAGATTTCAAAGTCATTATTTCGAGGTAACAGTTTATCCGTCAAATATCTATCAAAATCAGACTTATAATTTTGACTATCGCACTGCTCACTTAAATACTCTTCAATATTGTCCATAGGCACGATGAGGTTTGTGGAATCTGATCCCATCAATGATATGTTTCCTTCGACATTACGAGAAGTTGATGATTGGCTCTCATTGATACCACTAGAAGCAGAAGACTTAGACTTGTATGCATTTTCAAATTCATACAGCGCATTTCGGATCTTCTCTTTCTCAATCCAAGCATCAGCTCCAAGTAGTTTGTCGTAGTAGTAATCAATCATTTTGAACTTGAACCTAGGATCCAAAATGAGTGCCAGTGAGAAAATAACATGTATGTCCTCCCAATATTTTTTGAACTTCTCGATCATACTTTCGGCCATAATCACCACCTCCGGATGTGCACAATCAAGCCAAGTATTCATTCGAAGTCTAAGCTCACAAATACCCATAAAAATTGTGTTCATAGTCGGGTTCTTCGTATGTATTGGTCAAACGATAGAACCACTCCAATTTTTCGCAAATCTCACCAGCAAGCAACCAATCATGATCAGTAGGAACAATTTTATAAGATGGATCACGTTGTTTCAAGCGAGGAAACACAAACTTATACCTCAATGCAGAACTAAGCATGAAATAAGTGGAATTCCATCTAGTTTTAACATCATGCGCAAGTTTTTTACCACATTTGACATGTAATTGGCGTGCGGTCTCTTCAAATTTCTCCACCCTTTTCGATGTTGCTGTCCAATAATAAACGCTTTCTCTAATTTTTTCAATGCTAGATTCAATTACTTTCAAACCCTCTTTCACAATCAAGTTCAAAATATGTGCAGCACAACGCATGTGTAAGTAACGTCACTCAACAACAAAGAGTCAGGAGAAAACTTGTTCATCAATATCGATAGCATACCAACAGCAAAATCATTTGTAGTGCAGTTATCCAATGTCAAGGTAGACAACTTACTATCGATATTCCAATCCATTAAGCAACCAAACAAAGACTCACAAATTACATCAGCTGTGTGCGGGCAAGAAACATACATAAACCTACACTTAATTAAAACACATAACCTAAGAATTGAAACAAAGTAGGAAACAATCATAACAAAGCATACATATATATCTCACACATTATAACATTAGCATACAAAATAATGGAAAATGTACCTCAAAATTCTGCTCTGTAGCCTCCAAGAATTATCAATAAAGTGTGCGGTCACTGCCATGTATCCCTTCTTTTGATTACTAGCAGTCCACAAGTCAGTCGTGATTGCAATCCTGCTATCATTTCGCTCCAATAAAGTCATTATCTTACTCTTTTCTTCATTAAATATCTTCATAATATCTGTGCGCAATGTGTTCCTTGAGATTGGCTTGAAGAGCGGCTGTATAGTATTCAAAAACATTCTAAATCCTTTGTGCTCAACCATCCGAAGAGGATAATCATGCATGATCACCATATATGCAAGATGAAGTCGGGCTAAATTGGAATCATATGAATGATTCTTCAACTCCGTTTTTCCATCTGATTCTCTGCTAGCCGATAGAAGGCACTGCCCTATATCACTGGCTGTTGAAGTCCTTCGGGCACATCTTTTGGCATGTTCCAGTAAGTGATGAGTTCCATTTTTTGTACTTGCAGAGAGATTCTTCTGGCAAACATTACAAGTTGCTTTAAGCTCCCCATTAATAGTGACCCTCCTAAAGTGATTCCATACTGGAGAAGTATGTTTCCTCCCGTGAGTAGTTTCAGCAACCGCATTATGATCACCATTATGTGGAGCAGGTTCACTAGAGGTAGGAGGAACAGACACGCCAGCACCAATAGGTGGAAGAGACTCTGCTGGTGATGGTGAAATTTCATCCGGGAGACTGCTTCCAATGTGTCCAGACTGTTGGGTATTCGCAGATGAAGCCATATCTGAACCACAATTGAAAAACATTCAGTCATTTATAATAGCACTTAAATATAAGAAATTGAATTCATAGTGTTGCACACAATTATCAAGCCACAGTTAATGAGAGAGATTTATGTGAATTCATATGTTGCACACAATTATCATGACGTGAACAAAAAAGAAGACGAGCTATTAATTGCTCCTTCAAGGTACAACAATAAATCAAACATGACTAAAGAAGAAAATGGCTTACAGTGTACTCTGTGGACGTGGACTTCTGGAGCAATTGTTGTCGTGGCCGTCTGGAGCGACAAGAAATCAGAGGCTTCGCTGAGAGCAGCGGACAGTGGTGGCCGGTGGGGGACTGCCGAGAGGAGATGGGAATGCGAGTATGCGATGGGGTCCGGGGTGGCTAGGATTTGTGAACTTTATTTTGGCAAATGTATTAAATTTTATGTCTTTGATCTCAAACCCAATAAATCGGGACCCTCAGATTATGAAAATTGTTTTTAAGTTTATATTTGTGTAGTTAATTAACCAAAGACTAGATCTTGAAAATCAAGTGTATTAATTTTTATTGATGCTATATATATTCTTCCAGAGTCCCTCGACCTTTGTCTTTTTTTCTTTTATTATTATTTTTTTTATTTTTTATTTTTTTGCTTCTACTCGATAAGTCATTATAGATTTTGGATATGAGACAATTAGTTCTCTTTGTAAGTTGTGTTATAAATTNCTTCATTCTATATTTTAAATTTTTCATGCATTATAATTTTTTTATTTAATGTATTTCTAATTTTCTTTGCATTGTAATTTGTTTATTTAATTTTTGGAAGATGAGAGTGGAAGAGAAGTTGAAATATTGAATATTTTAAATGCAACTCATATATTCTTATTTGTGGAAAAACAAAATGTTCGTAAAGAATGTGTATTTCTTAACAAACAATAAGTTAATAGTATTTTTAACTTTTAAATAAGGTTTTTGCGGAAAAAGAACAACAAGAGACACTTATATTCAATTTCACCCTAACCAAGTTTGAACTATATAAGTTATTTGAATGGTACTCGTGAAAAAAGAATAACATGAGACACTTATATTCAATTTTACCCTAAACAAGTTTGAACTATGTAAGTTATTTGAATGGTACTCATGAATCATGAAAGTTGTTAATAATGTATTTAGTGAGTTTGATTTATAGGGCAAACAAATAAAACAGTCTTTAATATTGGATGTCTATTTTTATGTAATAGAGACATAGAGTAAATGAACATAAGTAATTTAATTTTTCTATTATTTAATATGTAAAACATATCAATTTGAAAGTCGAATCTATATACAAAACTATTCGTACGATTATTTTTATGTTTTTTATTGATTTAAGAATTATTTTTTAACAAATATTTGGCATTCTTAACTATATCATAAAGATAAGAGAATATACAAGTTTTTATGTTAGAGAGAATATACAAATTATGGGCATAGATAACTGGTAAATTCAACATATAGTATCCTTTTACATTTCATGGTTCATAAATACATTCTAATTTCTATTCATCCATGATAAAGAAATTATATTGAAATATATAATAATTAAAATACATGATTATAAAACATAAGATTGAAATTAATTTTTGCTTTTGTTAAAAAAAATATATAATAAAATGTACTTTCAAATTCAAATTAACAATATAATACTTATTTGAAATGATATAGCGAGATATATCTATCACTGAGAAAAAAAATAGTTGTCTAAATTTAACACATAACTTATATGCGTTATAAAGAATGTTATCATCTCTTTCGCATATCATACACTATTTTTACGTCTCACGAATTCCCAATTATACTCCAAATAAGTAGCATTATAGATTTGTACACATCATTTTTACACAGATAATATTTGTAAAGATATAAATATATTGAATACACTGTACACGTATAAACTTATTTTATCAAGTTCATTATTATTTATTATATATATGCTATTTTCAATAATTAGATCTATTCTTTAATATAAAAACTATGAATTCATCACATTTATATATGTGGATAGGTTATTTGCTTGCATAGATTTTCATTTTTCAAGTACAGGTAATAGAGTAACAGACTAACAGGTTTGCTTTTTTCATTTTTTATTTTTGATTTTCCTTCTCTCCTTTTTCATTTCGTGATTCGTCCTAAATTATATGAATGATCTGTTCCATCTTCATTCTTCAATCTTCAATATCTATGAAAATTTCAAAATACTTTGATTACTAAATTATTATTTTTTGGAACATAATTTTTTTGTATATCTATATATATATATATATACCTGTTTCCTGATAGCAGCCGGTAACTGCAGAGGAGTAGATATAGGCTTAAAGCCATAGACTCATTGTGGTCTAAGTCAGTACAGTTGAAAAACAACTTATTAAAAGAACCGTAGTTATTAAGTGTGCGGGTAATCGGGTCGGGTAAAAAAAACCCACCGGGTAAATGGGTCGGGTAATCGGGTCAGGTGGTGGGTTTTTTCATTGAACCCATACCCGACCCGACCCGGTGTACGGGTAAGAAGGAAAAACCCATGTACGCCCGCGACCCTGTATTTTCGGGTTTACCCGACCCAGTTTTCCGGGTTACCCGACCCTGTGGGCTTTTCTGACAACCCTACATTTGCTTTAACATACGAGCTTGAGTAACAAGCATAAAGTGGGGGTCGTCGAGTTGTGCCTCGATTGAGTCAATATATGCTGTAAGAATCTCTATTTGTGTGCTCTGTCGAGCACATCCGAGCTCAATCTCCTCATCTCGAGTGGTTTGGGAAGACATTCGAGCAAGAATGCGGTCGAGTTCTTCATCGTATGTCAAAGCAGCCTCCGAGGTTCATTCCTATTGTGGATTCGCCTTGAGCGGTGGGCTCGGGAGAGAAATTATTAACTCGATCCTCTAAGGCTTGAACACGCTCCACTAGGTGCTCGATTCTGGACTCCAGATTGCTCCTACGGGCCGCTTGGGATGACAAAAGAGCGAGAGCCTGATCGAGCTTTGCATTGTACTCTGAGGAGTCCTCGAGGGACTCATATGATTGCTCGACCGGTACGGAATCCCACTGCTACTCATTATGACCAAGTCTGGCCATAGTCCCAAGAATCATATTTTGGTGGTGACTGATTCAGACGAGCACACCGGGTTTCTATCTCTTCTTCTTGAGCTAACCGAGATGTTGCAAATGCATAGATTCGGTGGAGCTTTTCGTTAAACTCGTGGGACTCATAACATTGCTCGACCGGGAAGGGGTCCCAGTGTTGCTCGAAAAAGTATAAATAAGACTTGACGTGGTACCCTGTGTGATAGCTCGGCTCGTTAACCCAAGATTGGGTGTGCGGTAAGGGGAACACACGGTTGAAGTTCATATCTCCTGCACATCAAAACAGAACAACCACAGGTAGCCACGAAAAGGAAGGAAAAAGAAGGCAAAAACAAAAAAGACAAGAACAAAGATGCACAAAAGAAAAAACAAAAATACGATAGACACAAAAATAAGAGAAACACGGAAAATAAAGTCAATACCAAAACCAAATGTCCTAGTTGCCTTCCCCGATAGCGGCGCCAAATTTGTTGTGTAAAAATTACTTTATTTTATCGAGTACCGAATCAAAAGATTCGTTCCCCGAGTCGAACTCATGAGGAAGGCGGTTCGGAATTTAAAATTAGTATTGATAACACTTAAAAGAAAAATAAATCCTAAACGCTCTAATCAGATTAGGGTTTGAATAATTGCCAACTAAGAAATAACTTATAAAAATCTACCTAAAAATATAGACAAAATAAGGATGAAGAAGCTAGGGAGTCGGGGATAATTAATTCAAGTTCTTTTAGCAAAACCGGGCAATTAATCGTTCAGTTCGAGATTGACACTCTTGCTAAAACATCTAGTGGTTCGCCCCCAATAACTCTTCGTAACAAAGGACTGAACATAGACGAGCAAGCTTGAGCATACAACACAAGCCAATTATCCCAATCCCAATAACTTTTTGTAACAAGGGACGGGTCATCGACAAGCACGTATTTCAATCCAAAACCTATAGACGATTTAATTACGAAATCATCTATCTCATTCGAGCCTAGTTCTACGACTTCTCTCCTTTCGGTTCTAAAAGTCGCTAATTCAATTAAAAGAGTATTAATCAACTAATCATTGAGAATCTACAAAACCCTAACTCGACGAATCAATATTCAATCGTTTCTAATTGCAAGATCGAAGTGTCACTCTTCGATTATATCAATCAATCAAACAAGAATTCATCAATTCCTAATCAAATTAACTCGCATAAGCATGAACAAGTTAAAGCCCGACAAATACAAATCAAACAAGAACAATCATCCCCTATCCCTAGCAATCGGATTTAGCTAAGCATATCAAATTCAATACACCAAAACATATCTCCTAAATCAACCATTTTCATGAATTAATTTAAAGAGAAAACAAACTTACAATTTATTCAATCCAAGTGTTGAACCTTCATACAAAGCTTGAATCTGAAATGCAAAGAAGAAGAAGAAAAAGCAAAATAGAAAAGAAAGGTGAAGAGAAGAAGAAAAATGAAGAAGAAGAAGGAAGGGAAGAAGAAGAATGAAGGGAAGAAGAAAAGAGTGTTCGTTTATTTTCTCTCGGCCTAGGGTTTTTACTCCCAGTAGGGGAGATTTTTTTTTTCTGTCGAAGTCCCGTATGCGTTTTTATAGTTGGCAAGGTCCCGTGGCGTGAAGATCTTGTGGCGCGGCGTGAGGTCACGAGTGCCGCGGCGCGGCAGTTGGTGCACGGCGTGGCGCTGGGAGGATGTGTGTGTTCTGTTCGGGCGCGGAGAAGTGTCGCGCGATGCAGCGCGGCATGGAGCAAGGTTCTACTGCGGCGAGTTGCTGTGTCGCGACGTGGGGAAGTGGTCTGCCGCAGCGTGTTGCTTTGCCACGGTGCGGGGACGTGATGGTCTGCTTCTGTACGCGCGTTAAGGCTGCCGCGAGGAATGTCGCGGCGTGTCGACCTGAGTGTACCGCGGCATGAGAGTTGGCGCGGGCGTGGCGTGCGAGCAGGTCTCTCTGAAGGCGGTCGCGGGCGCGAGGCAGGCGCAGTGCAAGGCTGGGGTGAGTTGGGCCGATTTGCACGGATTTATGTCTGGGACTCGTTTGAACTCGTTCAAGCTCAGAATGGAGTTTCGTTTTTTTCTATCTGTCGCCGACGAACTCTTTTATTTTATTATGCTTGTACGACCAACTTTTGCTAGAAATCCGGTCCTCCCAAAGCTTTCGACCTGCACTCCAAAAATAAAGAAATACCGAACAAAACACACAAAAAATACATAGATAACCAAGATAGAACAAGACGCACAATAAACTATAAAAACGAATAAAAACCTACGAAAAGACCTAAAACGGGGGAAAAAGAAAGACAAAAAAATAACAAAAGATGCAACAAAAATTGAACAAACAGTCGGGAAAATTCCTAGGTACTTGGTAACAGAGAAGGGTATTGAAGTGAATCCTGAAAAGGTACGAGCTGTGGTAGAGATGCAGGCGCCAAGGAACTTAAAGGATGTGCAGGTTTTGACGGGGCGCCTAGCGGGGCTAAGCAGGTTCATTTCTCAAGCCACGGAAAAGAGTTTTCTTTTCTTTTGGGCTTTGAAGAAGGTATCTCGCTTTGAATGGACATCACAAGCTCAACAGGCCTTTGATCGGCTAAAACAACTCCCTTATTGACTAAGCCCGAGCCCGGAGATGTCTTAGTTGTGTATTTATCAGTTGGGGATGAGGCCATTAGCTCGGTCTTGCTCAAGGAAGAAGGCGGTCAACAAAAACCAAGATACTATACTAGCCGGATATTGCAGGGAGCCGAAGGCGGTATTCAAAAATCGAAAGAGCGGCGTTGGTACTCATTTCCATGGTGCAAAAGTTGCAACCTTATTTCCTGGCACACAAGGTTTTTGTGCGGACCAACTACCCGTTTAGAGATGTGTTAGGTCGACCTTCCGCTTCAAGAAGGATGGTGAAGTGGGGTGTAGAGCTCGGAGGGTATAATGTCGAATTTGAAGTAAGACGCGCGATAAAGGCATAAGCCCTGGCGGATTTTATACAGGAATGCACTATGACCAATGAAGAAAAGTGTTGGATGGTATATACGGATGGGTCCTCGGCCACGGGGGGCGCCGAGCTAGGTATCCTAGTTGTCACGCCTGAAAGAGATTATTTGGAGTTCGCAGTAAAGTTAACGTTTCGAGTCTCAAACAATGAGGCGGAGTACGAAGCTCTGTTGCAGGGAATACAACTTGTTCTAAGGGAAGGAACTCGGTGCGTGACTTTTCATTCTGATTCTTAGCTTGTGGTGGAACAGGTTAAAGGTGAGTTTGAGACCAAGGAGGAACGGATGAAGAATTCGCGGCTGAGGTGAGGTTGTTGCTAAAAGGACTCGACTCATGGGAGCTCGTGTACCGCGTACGAAGAATGGCCGAGCAGATCTTCTATCCAAGGTGGCAGCAACATTGGTGGATTGCAAATCACAATCAATCACCCTAATGGAACTGGCTGGAAGTACCTTGCAACGAATTTTGAAAGTTGACGAGCAGGAAGATTGGGATCACCATTAGTCAGGTGGCTGCAGGAGCCGTTGCATGGGAAGGATCTTCGGAGTGATCCGACAGGGAGGCGAGCTATGAGGTTTTACGTGCAAAATAGAGTGTTGTATAAGAGATCCTACATGGGGCCGCACCTTAGGTGCGTCTCGAAAAAAGAGGGCATGTATGTATTGAAGGACATTCATGAGGGATGCTGTGGGGATCATGTGAAGCTAGGTCCCTGGTAGGATAAGTGTTGTGAGCAGGGTATTTCTGGCCCACAATAAGGATAATGATGCAAGAATTGGTGCGCAAGTGTCTCAAGTGTCAACAGCACGGCCTGCTCATCCAGCGACCTGCGAAGGGTATGGTGCCAATAAGCTCGCCATTACCTTTCGCCCAATGGGGAATAGATATTGTGGGGCCTTTGCCTATGGCGGCGGGCCAGCGCAAGTTTTTTGGTGGTTGCGGTGGATTATTTTTGGAAGTGGATTGAAGCAGAGCCTTTGGCCAAGATTACTGAAGAGAGAGTGATTAAGTTTTTATTTGCCAACATTTGATGTCGATACGACATTCCGCGAGTGCTCATATCAGATAATGGAACTCAATTTAGAGGTCGGTGGGTGATGAGCTGGTGTGAGGATATAGGGATTAAACAGTAGTTTGCTTCGGTTGCCCATCCACAAGCAAATGGACAAGCCGAGGTGATGAATAGGTCGATCTTGAATGGGATAAAAGCTAGGCTGGATAAGCCTTTGGGAGCTTGGGTTGATGAGCTGGATTCGGTTCTTTGGGAATATAGGACAACACCAAGGGCTTCGGCGGGAGAGACGCTGTTAAGTTTGGTTTATGGGATGGAGGCTGTTATTCCAGTTGAAGTTGGACTCAGCTCGGCAAGAATTGATGCTTATTGATTACGGAGGAAACGCGGTGTTGCAACGTGAGAGCGCTTGACTTAGTCGACGAGCTGTGTGACTAGGCTAGGGTGAGGATTGCAGCTTATAAGCAGCCAATGAGGGTGGCACATGACAAGTCAGTAAGAGCTCGACGCTTCCAGGTGGGGGACTTGGTTTGGTGACAACCCTCAAGCATGTTGGTAAGTTGGAACCTAATTGGGAGGGGCCATACAAAGTAGACAGAGTCTTGACAGGTGGAGCTTATGAGTTAAGTGATATGGAAGGACGGTTGCTGATCTGGCCTTAGAATATACTACATTTAAAGAATTACTATGTCTAGTTTGGGAATTAGAAATGTCGCATTTTATACTTCTTGTAAATAAAACGAATAAATACTTTGCGAGATTTTATGATATATGATTCATTGCCCATCATGTGAGAACGATGCTATTTTATGAATGCCAGCTTTTAGAGCTCGGCATTGAAGTTTGTTAAGGGCGAAAGCCTGTATAAACGCAAGCTTTTAGAGCTCGGCGTTGAAGGCGAAAGCCTGTTTGTAAACACAAGCTTTTTGAGCTCGGCGTGGAAGTTTGTTAAGGGCGAAATCCTGTATAAACGCAAGCTTTTTGAGCTCGACATAGAAGTTAATAGAAAGTCTATATAAATGCAAGCTTTTATAGCTCAGCGTTGAAATTTGATAAGGGCGAAAGCCTGTTTATAAACGCAAGCTTTTAAAGCTCGGCGTTGAAGTTTGTTAAAGGCGAAAGCCTGTTTATAAACGCAAGCTTTTAGAGCTCAGCGTTGAAGTTTGTTAAGGGTGAAAGTCTATATAAACACAAGCTTTTAGAGCTCGGCATTGAAGTTTGTTAAGGGCGAAAGCCTGTTTGTAAACGCAAGCTTTTAAAGCTCGGAGTTGAAGGCGAAATCATGTTTATAAACGCAAGCTTTTTTAGCTCGGCGTTGAAGTTTGTTAAGGGCGAAATCCTGTATAAACACAAACTTTTTGAGCTTGGTGTAGACGTTAATGGAGAGCCTGTTTATAAACACAAACTTTTAGAGCTTGGCGTTGACGTTTGTTAATGGCGAAAGCCTGTATAAACGCAAGCTTTTTGAGCTCGACGTTGAAGTTAATGGAGGGCCTGTTTACAAACGCAAGCTTTTAGAGCTCGGAGTTGAAGTTGGTTAAGGATGAAGTATTTTATGATTGTTCTTAGGGCTTGGTTGTGTTTTCTAAAAGACTAGCTTATTTTAAATCGAAATCCTGACGATTGTGGTGTAACATTCGAAGATTGTTATACTTACGCTCGCTCAAAACTGCTATGGTCGACGTGTGAGACATTCAGTGTTGATAGTGCATGCATTAATAATAGCATATGCAGAATAGGAAAACAGAAGTTTCATTATCATAAGGCCTGAGGTCGAGCATACAAATTATAATAGAATATAAGCTTAAGGCGATAACCCCTCCTCATCACCACCAAGCCCGGCGTTGGCCTTTGCCACACCCAGCACCATCTCCCCCCATGGGAAGTCGATGGGTTGCGACTTGTCCCCATCCCTTCCGATAGGGTCGAGAAGGCTGGGAATCATGCGGGCCTCGTCAACGGAGCCCGCGAACCATTGGGCTTGGACATGGACAAAGCTGCGTTGCACCCCCTCGTTGAAGTACTAGAGGCATGCCGGGACGACCTTGCTGAGGTAGTTGGTGGTGTGGTCATAGTACTTGAGTAGCTAGACCCGATAATGCTCCAGGAATCGAGCCCTGTTGACCGAGGAAAGGAAGAAGACCTCGCCATCCTCATGAGCCTTGATGATACGCTAGTCCAAGGACAGCTTAAAGGAACCCAACTCGACCTCTTTTGCCGCTAGCTTTTCCTTGAGCTCGGTTTTCTCGGTCTCTTTGGAGTGGAGCTGGGCGGTTAACTGGTCCACCTCTTCTTTTTGGCAATGAAACGCCTCCCTCAAGCTGGCCAGCTCAGCTTGAGTGTTGTTGAGGTCGTCCTGAAGGGCCTCCGTCTCAGACTGGCCCTCTATCTGCTCATGCAGAATATGGGCGAGTCCGGCCAGAGTCTGCAAAAGGGATGACGAGTTATGGTTGTTCATTAAGGAGCATTTATGAAATACGTGTGAAGAAATAGTTCTACCTTTACAAGGTTGTAGCACGTTATGGAAGCTCAGGTCTGGTTATCCTCCCAGCGGGTGATTTCCCCCTCTGGGAAGATAGAAATGAGACAGGCCACGGGTGAGCCGACGTCCGGGTTGCGCGCAAAGTGTGGCGGCATCTCCAGGACGTTTTTAGGATAAGCCTCCTCTGCGCCTTCCGACTTGGCCTTCTTGGCGGCGTTACCTCCACTCTTTGTGCTCTTGCGCTTGGACGACCTCGGCGGCTTCTGGGAAGCCTGTTCAATCTCAGTGCGCTTCTCGGTGCCGGGAGTCTGAAGGGTAGCGGAGGTCGACTGGTTGGTAGTGGCCGTGGTCGTGCTGATTACCAGGGCAGCTGGCCTAGTTGGCTGCGCAGGGGTCGCGGCAGATGCAGGGGCGGCGAGAGCCGAGCTGAATGCGGCTTCTGCAACATAAAAGGAGAATTAGTTAGCACATGGGAAGATATGTAAATAAAAGTAGAGATTAGATCAAAGTGAGCACCCACCGATTTCCACCACGGCCTCGGTCGGGCGGTTGGATAAAGTTAAAGTGTTTAAGAAGATGAGCATCAGAGGTTGTTGGCACTACTTGCAGTGGCCGTTGGTTCTATTGGGCGATGATGGCATCATATGCAGTGTTGGATCGAGGGTTAGATCGTTGAGTGGGGAGCTCGTGGATCCACTCGGGTGCGAAGTCAAAGGTGTTCGGCGGGGGCGAAGGTAGTAGAACTTATTCTTCCAGTTGTGAATTTTTTATTTTGATTGGCCGAGAAAATGGGCATTGTGACGGGTGGAGAGGTAGTACGACGTGCCTAAGGGTTTCACCCAAAGGCAGTAAAAGCACAGCTCTGGGTCTAGCCGACCTAATCTAGCTCGACATATCATTATAAAGCCTACGAGCAGCCTAATGGAGTTTGGCGAGAAATGGTTCAGGGGTAGAAGGTATTGCTTGCTAAGTTCCATCAGGTCGTCGGGGAGAGGGAATTTGAGCCCGGCGACGACTTGGTCGAGAAAGAAGGTGTAAAAGTCTGGCGATGGATTGGTGTAAGTATTTTCGGTGGCTGACGATGCGGTCGTCATCCCTGATGGGGCTACAGTCACCGACGGCTCGCCCTGGGGTTCAGAGTTTGAAGGGGAACGTGAGTTCGAGTTAGTTAGATGGATGTGTTCTAATGGCGATTCGGGTACATAGTATCTGTAAAATTAGTAAGTCATTTAGTAGGTGATCATGAGGATATGCGAAAATCAAGTTTGAAAAATAAAACGGGGTCACTTACCAAAGAAAGACATGATTGAAGAGGATAGTGGTCATTGTTTGCGCTATATATTCGCCAGAAGAAGTTGCTAGAAAGATGAAGTCCGAAATTTGCAAGAATGGAGAGGTAAATGGAGATTTGCGAGTGGTCTCTGGTATTTATACAGGAGTAAGACGTACGAGGGCATGGAAAAGGTCGGCCGATCGTGGCCGTCCAATTTAAAATCCCATCCACGGTTTAGATGGATGGCGTGTGCGCGAAGGGTTAGCAGGCGAGGGGTCGGCCAATCATAACCGTTGATTGTGATATGCTGAACGATGTGGATGACGTCATGATCGGGATTCGACAAATATTCATCATTATGCTTGGGTTTCGTAATGATGTGTGTCTGTAACCCCGACATGCGCCGCTTTAGATTTTATGGGAGGGAATCGATAGAGGCGGTCACATATAGTACACGTACGAGCCGGGGCGTGAGTCGCACTTGCCTTTATAATCATTTTTCTGGCCCGGCTAAGATAGCTCGTCCCGAAAACTGGGAGGGCTAGATGATATAGCATCAAGAGCGGTTTGCAGAACAATCAGTGTGTAAGCCCAACCGGCCCAACTGACCTAGGCTCAGGTTAATAACAATGCTTGGCCATAATTATGGGAGTGATGAGCTCGGCTCGCGTGTTGAGAAACTGGATAGCTGCTACGAGGAGATCGACTCTTGGGAGGTTAGCGTTGATCAATAGGAGGCTTTCCTGGGAGCAGATTAGCCTAATTGGAGGAAGGCTCGGGTGGTGATGGTCGAGTCGTCGACAGAAATGCTGAGGTGGCATTTCACTTCGGTGCAGATGGGATTCCCAAAGTATAATCAAGGAAGTTGAAGGTGAGTAGAATTCTTGTTGGATAATTTATGAAGAGACGGGCGAAAGGAGGATTCTGTTAGACCTAAAATCCCACTATGCAAGGATTCTTGGCTCTATATAAATGACAGGTTCTTTTCTTTTTAAAGGATATACACACGCATATTTTCAATACCATACCGCATCTTCTCGAAAACCCCCACTGACTTGAGCGTCGGAGTGTTCACGCCCGGACCACTCCTGGCGTGTTTTGTATGTACCGACGATCGAAAAGACTTAACCCGATTCGAGAAGGGCGATCAAGCGGTTCGCAAATTCGTGGCATAACAATATGGTTCTAAGGATTTTGTACAATGTCTTATAAGGAATTTGTGCAGAAATTATTATGGTCTTGTAAGAAATTTGTTGTAGATTTTTTGTTGGATTTGGTAATGAATTGTTTATGGCCTTGTAAGTAATTTAATGAGTTTATGCAGTATAATGTAAGAAATTTGCCCAGAAAATGTTATGGTCTTGTAAGGAATTTGTGCTGACATGGTGTGCACTGTTTTTGAGCTCCATTTTGTAAGAAATTTGTTATGGTTTTTGTTATGGATTATAAGGGGTTTGTGTAGTTTCTTGTGTGAAGTTTGTGTGCTACATTTATTTCAGACAAAGTTGTGATAAAATTATAAAAATGGTTAACAAACTAACAGGTAATGACAAATTATGGAAAAATTTAAATGTTGATGCCATTACAAGATGAACAACTTACATCCAAATACAACAATGTCAATAGCATTACAAATACTGAATATCAGCTATTCATCATCTTTTCATCATCTGTCTGAGATCAACATAAAAACATCAAACTCAAAATTATCAATAATGCTACTAATATCCTTAGAAGTCTTGTTTTTTTGGTACTCTCATTTTTCAATTTCAGAATTTCTGCCTTTAGTTTCTTGTTTTCTTCTTCAAACTCCAAATTTAGTTTCTTCAATTTCTTGTTTTCTTCTTCAAACTTCAAAAGCTCTACTTTTTCAATGTCAGCCCTCTTAGTTGATTCTTCCATTTCATTCAATCTCTTGAGCAAACCAAGAATTATATGTTGAGCACGGGCACAAAGAGGAGGCTCGACCCATCCAAAATACTTGTATCCTACTCCCTGAATTCCAGCAAAATAATAATAATAATAATAATAATAATAATAATAATAATAATAATAATAATAATAATAATAGTAATAGTAATAGTAATAGTAATAATAATAAAATAAAATAAAAGTAAATTACAAAGCATTTATTCAGCTAAAAACCTAAAATACCATAGGACTTACATTCCAATGGAGGCACGAGAAAAATCTTCTTCCACAATTGGGAGTTTTCCACGAATTACGAATTTCAGCTCTCAGCCCACAATAGCAATATGGATAATCTGTGCTGTCAGACATCTCTTTAGTGCTTCACTCTTAAGTCGAATTTCTTTAAGCTTGTACCGAACAAGAAGACTTTGAAAATCTAGGGTTTTTCTGCTCAATTTTAGGGTTTTTTTCTGTTCGAAATTTTGCCCTATTTTTCCCTATTTTTCTGTGGAAGATGAAGGTCAAAACGCGTGGAGAATGTTTTTATAGACTGTTGAGCTGAGGTGGATTAAGTAGTCCACGTTGGCATATTTTGTGACCTCAGGCGGAATTCCGACGAGTTTGGCCGGATTTGGGTAGGAAGACCAAATTTTTAACGCATTTTGGCTACTATTCCCAAAATCAAAAGAAGGTGGCTAAAAATGCCAAACCGTATAAGTTACTGACTAGTTTTTGCAATTTAGCAAAAAAATTAATCAATTCAACACTATTCTATGACTAGTGAAATTAGATATTGACATAAATAAGAGTCAACAAAATAAACATATCCAACATATCTAAAACTAGCATGTAAACTTCAAACATGTATAATTATGTTAGAAGGGTGAAAATCCAAACCGAACAACATTGATGCTGAAAAACTGGGCAAACAATTACACGTAGTCTGTGCATTATGAACATAACTTTTACTAGAAAATAGACATTTGATCGATTCTTCTGCACACAGAAAGCCAAGTAAGCCATCAGGGTTTTTAAGATACCAAAATCAGACGTCTATGTTACAAGGGTCACAAGCCATCAGATGGACATGGCACATCAAAATATATACACAAATTTAAGAATCGCAATTAAGTCCAAAATCATTATCCGATTCTCAAATAAACTATCATCTGCTTTCAACTAGTATCATTTATGCATACCATCTAACGGCTTTTGCATGCTTTACAAGTCACTTGATCGTCATTCTATTGAAGGAAATAATTGGCTAACACCAATCGGCGTGAGCGTCACCCCTAGATCATATGTACCACACTTATCAATGGACAGTGACACCATAATATATTAAAATAGTATAGCCTGAACAATGGATAAAACAAATTTGGAGAAAAGAAGCATTTGGATTATGGATATGAGGAAAAAAATTAAATATAAAAATACAATTTGAACTAAAAATACGTGTCACATTATTTATTTGAAATTTAGTCATGATATTAGTTATCGTCACTATTTACAGTAACAATTGTGACAATTTTTTTTTTCGCCAACACAAAAAATAAATGGCACCAAATTCTTAGTGGCAATGTGTAGTGACAATAATCAAAAGAGTGTTAATATTCACCGCGCCCATTTTTACTATTCACCGCGCCCTTAAAATACTATTTTGCCCTTATTAAAAAAAAAAATAATAAAAAATTCAATTTTTAAATTTTTTTTTAAATGTGGCCAAAAAATATATGATCTTATAAATTGATGAATGTGGCCAATCACATGAATGTTATAACACAAAATTCGAAAAAAAAAAATCATAAAATTCGAACAAAATTCCAAAAAAAAAAAAAAACTA